GTCTCTTTACATCTGTAAATCACCCTTCTGTTTCCTACTCCTCGACTTTCTGTTACTTTGATGTTCCTTCCCCCTGTGAAGCCCGAAGTCTGCTAAAGGGCTAATGATAACTATCAAAACGCCTGCCATTTGAAATATATATATATATATATATATATATATATATATATAGTAGGTTTCGACGTTAACTAATGATTCTGCAATTTGAACAAATAATTGAATTGAACAATCGCCATTCGTGATTGTTATTATTATTAGTTTTTTGAAAGGTGACCCCCATGAGTCAAAATTCAAAATTTCAACTAAAAATAGGAAAGACAAAATACAACACCTGGTAGGCCATGTAAGATAGCAAGAAGTACATGGACATATTGGACTAAAAGTCGAACATTTTTTCCCCATTTTGGTTTAATTCTACTAATTTTTTTTTCTTTTCGTAAAATTTCATACTTAGTGTTTGGACTTGTCTTAATATTTCCGTTGTTTACGGTGTCTCGAAACAACTTTAGGCCTATTTTTCTTCTAAATTAGTGCCTCACAATTCGCAAATAATTCAGAATTGCCTCAACCAGTTTAATTTAATGGTAAATTAATTTCTTCAGCACATTCTAGTGCACTTTAAGATCTGTGGAGGAGGGGGGGGGAGGGAGGGGAGGGGGATTGGGAGGTCAAAAATTGCCCACTAGAGGCTCAAAAGGTCAAATCCATAGGCGCCGTGACCTTAAAATTTTTTTTATAATCCACTTGGCCTGAGTGAAATTAACCGTTTGCGGACACTTAAGGGAGAGATTTATTAACTGCACTGTTACACTTACTCCCCTCAATTCTATTTACTCCTCTATTCTAAGCTACCACTTTTATTACCTCTAACGCCACACAGGCCCCCTTTCGGCACATATGATCCTTAAAATGTACCTTTAATAATAATATTAATGAAATCGAATTGAAGAGGAGAGGTGAGGAGGGAGCGGGGGGGAGGGAAGGGGGGGAAGGGGAGGGGAGGGGTGGAGGGAAGATTTATTACAATATTAAATCCTTCAGAGATCTTAATCTAGAAATATGCCTCCCAAATTCACTGGCATAGGTTAGGAAGAGAGTATATTCGAGGAAGTTTAGACGCTTAAAAACAAAAATTAAATAGCATTTTATGTGCTAGAAAAGAGTCTGTCGAAAAAAAGCGGCTGTTGGATCTCATGAAATTTCAGAAATATGGTTTAAGTACCTACAACTCGCTCCCTCTATGGCTCCGAGGAATTTTTGAGATTGGAAGTAGTTTATGCAGCCTAAGAGCAGCATAAAAACGTCGGCGTGTTTTGGTTAGGGGAAAAAATTTACCAAAATAATAATTGCGGACAACTTGCTGAAGTCGGCCAAAAGGATCGGAAAGAGGACGTTCATCTAAATTTTCAATAGGGGTCGCTGTTGAACGTTCGCCCCCAATGGACAATTAATCATTCACCCATGGATCAAGCCATAACTCCTTTGCCTAAATCTCCTGGGTGCTATCGATAGGCTGTTGAATTATCATTCCAATTCGCTCATTCTTTCAAAAGCCAGAAAAGCGTCTTTACGTTGTCATATCTCTTAATTAATTTATAAAATTTTAACGTAGAGGAAACCACGCACAGCATTTTCCACCTTGGGTGAACATTGACTATAATGTTATTACGGCAATATTAAAGAAAATTATTTAAAATGGGAAAAAGAATAGGTAAGAATAGGGTATAAAAATACTACAGTCCTCACAGAAACACACTATCCCCTAAAATTTTTTTCACCATTCAGAGAAGGAGTGGGGAAGGTGGGGTGGGGGGGGGGGGTTGGAGGAATTAATGAATGAATTCTGAGGTGCGCCCCCCCAAATTGGCAATTACTGACGTCCAGTTAGAATACGATGGCGCTTATAAATTCAATCAGTTTTTTTCTTCTACCAACCAATTGAATGGGTTTCTGCTTTACAGTGTCCATGGCAGCTGTAAATCAGTGCTGATATAAATTTGCCAAGGCTTTAGAATTTGAAAATTAGAACATCAAAAAAGTGGGCTATTCGGTCAAATACTGTGCCACTTCAATCTCTCTACCAACACACACCCCATAAATTTAGCCAGGAAGCAGCTCATTATTCCCATTTCCAGTTGCTTAAACTAAAATATGCCAAAAAAACGCCTAGGCTTTCTCTAGAGCGTGGCAAACGGTTTATGATGACAAGTCTCTAGGATGACAGGCTTGAACGACATAGGCGCGCAAGTCAGAAGTCGTGTAAACAAGCTCACAACTAGACATGGGAATAGTTGACTAAGCGCGGTTGAGACAAGGCAAGGTTTAATCCAATTTTGAGTTGACAGCCCAGAATTTAAAATTGACATCTGCTTGAAGCGATGAAAATCAATTCGTATATGCCAAATAGGAGGTTTAAAATCGCAGAAATCCTATCCTCTGTTTCAATTCCTCTTTTGGCTTCTTTAGACTAACCACTTGGTAAGATGAGTTGACGCTAGGGAATAAAATTCCATTCTACGGTTCCAGAAATCGATTTGTACTACCGCAAAGATGGCCCCTGCAATAGACACTTAATTAGCATGGCGGGCCGTTCCACACTCTGAACAGTTATAACCCAACTCATCAAGAAACTTTGTAAGAACATGGATGGTATAGTGAGTGCACAATGACTTAAATGCTTGCACAAATCAAAAATTTAAACAAAACCCAGTGTGTTTTGGTATTATTTTCAAACAGCAACTTCAAATCAGCCAGTACACAAGGTTGCGATTGTGTTGCAAACTACTGTAATTATGGCATTAATTTTGACGAGAACAATAGCTATTGGATAAGGCGTTTTCTATCAGTGAGTAACAAATTATTTTTAATTCCCTCCATCATGATTTTACTGTCAGTTTTAAAAGGAGGCACGAGTTATTGGCGTTTAAAGCGATCGACAGAGTACGAAGACATGTTGAGATGGCTACACCTTGGCAACAGATGCACGCAATTTAGTTGAACATCAATTTGAAGAATATAAAGGAAAATTGTTCCGATCTTAAGTCTTTTTGTTTCAATTGATAATGGCATATATATATATATATATATATATATATATGTCATTTTTAGAAACAAATGACAACTAAGTAGTGCTGGAAACAAATTGCAGCACAAAACAATTCATTAGAGCTATAACGACACTCTTTGTGCTTCAATTAAACCGTCTATGTGAATTTCTGGGTGTAAATAATTGTGAAAAAAACGTGCATTGTCAAGGCCTAAAACTCTCTTCTAATTTTGACGGGATTTCTCAGCATTTAATATGACAAATTATAGAAAAAGGGGATTAATCACCTACATTATCTCAAAATTGTGACGAATTAACAGTGTCATTAAAAAATGCATTTCAATAAAATAAGAGTAGACATACTCATTGACATTGAGCATATCCCAGATGCGACAAGTGGCATCTTCTTTCCGTTCCTGAAAATTAAAACAACAGAAAAATTAAATAAATTTTTGGTAAACTAACACGACAAAAGAGGAAGCTGGCAAAAGCAGTCCAGATATTATAATTTAAAGTTTTATAAAAGGCGCCACACCCAATGTCCAATCGTAGCACTCCATGAAAAGTCAAAAAAGTATGATTTCGGATAACGCATTCAGTTCTCAAACTTTGCTTCACAAAAAATGGGTTCTTTCGTGTTCTCACGCTAATTATCAAGTTGGTGCGAACTATTAGGCGAGTACTGTCTAGCTCACAAAAACCAGACATTATTTCGCCTTTTTCTCATTGTGTGATAAAACCAAAAAAATGTTGCACTTCGTTTAGGTTTTGGAGAAAAACCTCCTAGAAACTTACTTCTTTTGAAGCAAGTTTCAACCGAAAGAGACTGATTAAATCTGACGAATGCACGATATAGATATCGGAGTCAAGGTTAACAAAACTCGTTTCCATCGTTGAAGAACTTCCATTTGCGCTTTCAGTGTACAAATCGGTGCTGTTTGATTTCTTCAAAAACGGTTCCAATTTTCGAATTGGTATTGTAATCATCAAAGCAGTAGAGTGATCTAGGAAATAAAAAAATATTAATTTCATTAGTTGCATTCAGTAAATTTACATCATTTGAATATATTTATTAAAGTTCTTCTTGTAATAATATGATTGAAGATTAACGGTTTTCTCCTATAACCAGGTAGAATAAAATTTTGCTCAAACTTATATTACGGATTCCCGGGGTGTGCGATAGACTTACCTCCATGTGGTGCACCCTGGTCTCATACGGCAAAAAGTCTATTAACCGGCACATCACTCTATGCCATATTCGGCTACTTCCACAGTACTCACCTCACCTTTTTTCTACCTTTGTGTTTGTCTCTTACATCTTTGAAACACTCTTCTGTTCCCCCTCTCGACTTTTTTCAATTTGATATTCCTTCCCCTCTGTGAAACCTAAAGTCAACTAAAGGGCTGGTGATAACCATCAAGACGCCTGCCATTTGATATAAATAAATAAATATATTACGGATTCCCAATAAAAATTCATGCGATTTATTCAATTAGGCGGTCTTAAAATCACATCCTTTTGTTTTAATTCGTTTAGATAATTCGC